GAAGTTTTCTTTCATTATTTTTTCAAATAGATTTCTAATTTCTTCCTCTTTCTCTTTTCCTTCTGGAACCGCTATGATGCGAATGTTGGAATGCTTGAAGTTGTCCCAAAGGCTGCTTACACTATCTTTGGGGTTTTTTTTTGGATTTTTCTTCTTCTTGCTGTTCTCATTCATTGTTTTTTTGCTTCCTTATGTTCCATATCGTTGATTTGATTCTCAGCTTCATGTACTCTATTGCTGTTTCCCTGTACATTGTTCTTTATTTCAATTAGTGAGTTCTTCATTTCTGACTGGATCTTTTCTATGCTATTGATTCTTCACAAGTTCTTCAAGCATTCTTATAAACAGTATTTTGAACTCTGCATCTGATAGATTGCTCCATTTCATTTTTCTCTTTTTCTGAAGTTTTGATGTGTTCTTTCATTTGGGCCCTGTTTCTTTGTCTCCTCATTTTGGCAGCCTCCTTGTGTTTGTTTCTATGGATTAGGTAGAGCTGCTATGACCTCCTCAATAGCATGACCTAATGTAGTAGGTGTCCTGTGGGCTCCAGTGGCACAGCCCACCCCATCACTCAAGCTGGGTACTCGGTGTGTTCTTTGTGTGGGCTGAGAACACCCTCCTCTTGTAGTTGCGCCTTGATTGCTGTTGGCAGGTTGATGAAAGGGATTTACTCGGGCTAGTCAGCTGCAAGGACTGGCTGTGACCAGTGACCACCAACCTCCACCCTCCATGGAGGATCAGCTGTGCAGGGGCAGGTGGTGGTGCTCCGACATGGTTTGTAGCTGTCCACTGGTTGCGCAGACTCTGGGGTTTACCAGGTGGTACAGGTCAAGGTCAGCCCCCACCTGTGTTCTGCCTGGGGCCACCCTGCATGAGCTATAAAGCAATCTGAGATGGCTGCTACTTGTGTTGGGCTTGGAGATTCCCAGATGAAGCCAAGCTGTGAATCTAGGCTGGCTGCTGCTAGTGCCCAGCCTGGGACCACTTATCAAGACTTAACAGGGTTGGGGGCTCACTGAGGCTGGCTTTTGCTTGTTTGAGAGGATTTGGGAAGTTGTGAAGCAGGAGTCAAGACCAGCCATTTGTATGGAAAAGTCACTGTTAATAACTTGGGTGGGCCTGTGAGTTGGGTGGGACTGAGTCTCCAGGGGACCTCCAGGGCGGGGCAAATAGAGTTAGCCAGGTAGGTGGAGTCTCAGACATGGCACCTGCCTGCCAGCTCTGTGGCTGTGTGTGGGGAGGGTTCAGAAAAGGGACAGTGGCCGCTGCCTGCCTTTCTGTCTGGGTGAAAGCTGTCCCCTAGCTCTCGCCTTGATGCCAGACACTTCATTTCCTCTCTGTATGCCACTGGTGCCGTCTTTCAAGCTACTTCCCCCATGCTGGAGCTCAGAGGGAGTGAGTCTGAGAGAGTACATGTGTCGGTTCTTTAAGAGGAACTGCTTGGGACTGCATAAGTTTCTTCCACTGGCTCAATCACCTCTGGTTTTTGCAGCCAAAAATTATGGGGGCACTTATCTTCCTGGCACTGGAACCCTGGACTTGAGGGTCTCTTGTTGGGCTGAGACTCCTCACTCCCGAGGTATCTCTCCTTAATTTTTATCCACCACCCTACCAGTCTGGCTCGATGTGGGTTCTTCTTTTGTTAAAACATTTTATTTATTTATTTATTTTTAGAGAGAAGGGAAGGGAGGGAGAAAGAGGGGGAGAGAAGCATCAATGCATGGTTATCTCTCGCATGTCCCCTACTTGGGACCTGGCTTGCAACCCAGGCATGTGCCCTGACTGAGAATCAAACTGGTGACTCTTGGGTTTGCAGACCGACACACAATCTACTGAGCCACACCAGCCAGGGCGAATGTGGATTCTTTAATTCCGTAGTTGTTGGACTTTCATTCAATTCCATTCCTGATGGTTCTGAGTGATTGTTGTTTATACTTTAGTTATAATTTTGATGTGGTTGTGCGAGGAGGTGAGCTGTGTTTACCTATGCCACCATCTTGACTTGAAGCCCTACGTATTCTTATTTAGCCCCCAAAGTAGTCTCGTGAGACAGGAAGATAGTGGCACTGCTGTTTTGCAGATCAGAAAACAGGTTTGGTGTGGTTAATGACTTGCTGCAAGGATGATGGCTGGAGCTGTGTATCAGCACAAATGCTGGGATTAAAAGTGTCATACCTGATACGGTGTTGTTTGTGAAAGCTACCGTTATAATAACTGGCATTGGTCATTTTCAATGTGTGTCTGTCTCTCTAGCAACCCTTTGAGGCAGTAGGTGGGTGGTCAGATTAAATACTACTGATGTTGAGTGCTGGTGTCTCAGAACTGGAAAGAAACTGTGGAAAGACCAGGCTTCTCCTCAGCCCCTCAATATCCCCTCCTGGTGACCACTGTAATGGACATGTCTATCTTAATTCTATCTTAAGTAGATTCCAACGCTGAAGAAAGTGAGCTGACTACTACAGGTATTAGAAACACCATGGGACCTCAGCAGCCTGTGTGAGGGAGAGGTGGTGTTTAGCACAGGAGTGGGGATGAGATAGAAGCCCCGGCTCTGAGTTGGGGTTGAGAAGGCAAAGAGTGAGGCAAAGATTGGGTGGTGGCTGGGAACACTCATTTGGGTTTTGGGGCCTGTTGGTTACACTTCCCCTCTTCTCTCCCACTGGCTTCAAGTCCTGCGTGCTGAAGCAGGTGTGCTTCATACTCTGGCGTCCTTCATACTCTGGCGTCCCACAAGCTCTGGTCTCTGTGGGATGAAAAAGTTAGGAGTCTCTAGTAATCAATATGCTTTTGACCTCAGACCTATAGGTCAAGTTATGGCTCTTAAGGGTTTGAATCTTTTTTTGAGAGATGTTTATGGTTTGGCTTGGATTGTCTTTCCACTTGAGGGTTTGCTAAATATAATTGTCCTGCAGACATAGCCACAGTGGACCAACTTACCTAACCCCAGAAGGAAAATAGCCACTTACATGTTTTGTGAGGGTCATTGCTTACGAATCCAACAGTGGACATAGCATAACCAGCTCTGTGGTGGACACCGGCCTGCCCCTCAGTGTGTGGGGGAGCTAATTGGAGTGCAGTGCATTTTGCTTTTAAAGAACCTGACACGGCAAGAGTGAGAGACTGAGTGTCACAAGCCCTAAGCTCTAACTTTAACTGTGGTGCTGATTGGGTGTGTGACACTGAGCCAGTGAGTCCAGGAGCCCTGGTCTAGGCTGCCAGGATTCTGTTATGTTATTTCTCTATTGCTGGAATAATTGTACCCACAATTTAGTTTAGTGTGTTTCCCATCTCATACATGTGCACTTGGGCAGCTTATCTAGTGAACGCCTAATCATTCTTCAGAACCTAGCTCAAATGTCCCTTTCATCTGCAAATTCATTCAAGTTATTTTGAGAGCATAGTGTGTGCCAGTTTCTGGGGGTATAGCATCAAACACAGGCCCTGCCTTCCTAGCCTTGCCTCTCTGTCCCCAAGCCCCATGTCTGTGATGGACCCTCATTCCTCTGTAGTCTGTGGCCCAGTGACTGCTCAGCTGAATCCAAGAACAAATACTTGCCTCTCTGGTCCTTCCACTTCCATCTAAGGACCAGACGGAACCCCCTAAAAGACACACAGCAAAAGTGTCAAGGATGGCAGAATTGCAACAGAGACTTCTCTGCTAGTGCAGCAGCGGCCAGAGCTTGTCAACCTCACATAATATGTAGAAACCTAAGGGAAAATTAGAGCCTTCCAGAGTCTGATATTCTTCATGCTGATAACTGGGCCTTTGCTGCTGCCGTTATCTAGTTCGTGATGAGAAGGAAAGACACGTGCAGTCAGAGAATCATAGGCCCTGGTAGAAACTCCCACCAACAGGAAGCACATGTGTCCCCTTTCACCTGCACACGGGCAAAAGGCATTTCCTGGCCATTGTTTGTGGGACTGCCGCAGCGCTATTTCCATCCACCAGTGGAGAGGGGCTGGAGCCAGCCAGCCCTTACCAGCCTATGGTTGGGGTGCTTCTTGCTCGGGCCTGTGTCACGGCCTCTGGGGAACCAGGTCCGGCTGACCATACTGCCTTCCATCCTATTAACAATGAGAAGACGTAGGAAAGAAGAGTCTCTTGTGTAAAAATAATCGTGGCAGCCCCAGTTGCTTTCACACATATGCTGTCAAGCAGGTTCCTGTCCATTTTTTTTTTTTTTTTTTTGGTACTGTGGCCTGAGAACAGTCTACCCAGGGGAGTAGCTGTGTTGAATTCATGTACTGTGGAAGGATTTGGATGTGGATGCCCTTGGCCCAGAGATGCAGAATGTTTCCCCAAGATTTGCTGGGGAGAAATTTGACTCTTAAAAGTTTCATGTGGGAAAGAGAAGTTCGGGATTCTGCAGTGGGTAGGGTGTGAATGCTTGATCATCATGTTACGTGTTTTCTCATGATGAGCCCAAAAGCTGAAGGTCTGTCTTCAGAGGCTGCTTGACCTCCCGTTGTAGCTGCCCTTTCCCAGTGTAGCCTGCTGAAGTATGTCATAGCTCTGTGTTGATTACAGATCTCGTTCTGCCCTTTCAGAATGAAAGGTATGCCTACAAGATGAAAGCAGGGAAGTAGAAGAAGATTAAACTGGATGCTGGTAGTTGCTCTTTTTAGAAATACCAAGAAGTAATTGCAGCTTCTGAGTCTGTATTTATTTTTGTCCTCTCTCCTTATTCCTCTTGTTTGCAGATGACTGGGGCAAGGGATGGTGGACACTGTTAATCATTTCATTGCTTAAACACCATTCCGGACTCTTCTACAAGAGGCAGCTACCCAAGGGTGGGGCCCCAGAGTAATCGCCACATCCTACAGAGCACTGCGGCATCCACGCTCTCTGCTTGAATGAGATGGAGAGTCATTTCAGGCAGCAGTTCCCATCTCCACGCTTAGCACAGGCACTGTGCTGTGTTCATAACCAGGGACTAGTTTGGACGCAGTTGCAGGGGGGATTGGTGAGTCCTCATGAACACCCTCTGTTGTCCCCTCAGTGTGTGTCCTGCCACATCGACCATTGCAGCAGATGAGCTTGGACGAGGCCGGTGCATTATGTACAGCGTAGAAGACCTCCTGATTTCTCATGGATACAAGCTGTCAAAAGATGTTCAGGCACCACACGAGGCTCACTATGAGGAGCGCCAGCCAGTGAGGACCAGAGCGAGAGGGGGCCAAGGCCTGCTGAACGGGTGTGAGGATGGACCTGCTGCCTTCCCACACAGTAAGGCGTATGCAGGGACAAGAGCCGGGAGTGATTCTGACAAGGGCCGCCATGCGCTGAGAGCTCACGGAGAGCCCCCGAGTGCCTCTGCGGCCAGAATGTCTGAGGAGGGGTAAGTGCGCACCTACCATTTTCTTTTGACTTGGGGGTTTGGCAGTGAGTATGTGATAAAATCCTCCCCTTCCTTATAATTGGCTGGGATCTCGGAGTGGAGTGAGAGACAAGAATGCTGCTGTCCACTGAGGTATTGGGATGTTCCAGGAGCATCGAGCACAGGGCCGGGACCCAGTAGGCCATCAGAAAGCAGTGGTGGCAAAACGGATTCTGTCCTGCTAAACACTGCATTTCAGTGCTCGGCCTCTCTGTTCCCTTGTAATCTTCAGGTACTACCTCAGCTAGAAATCATTTTAAAACTCTGTAAAAGCTAGTTTGTGTCAGGCACACATTCTTAGTACATTAGGCTTTCTTATTAATATGTTTCAGTATGTGGTACATCACTGAGTTGGAAGAGGTTTGTATTCCCCTCCATTTGTGAAGAACACCTTTCTTCTTGTGTATTCATATAATTCCACGGGCTCCCAACCCCTGTTTTCCTCACACACACACCGGGCCCCAGCGTGGGTCCCCATCTGAGTGCAGCTGCGTCTGCGGGTGTTTGCTTGCAGTGACAGAAAAGGCTGGCTCTGGGGGGAACAGAGCCAGCATGGGAGAGGAGCCCTGCAATCTCATCCAAGCCGCTTTGACCTAGAGGAAACCTTTGTCATCACTTCATAAAACTGTTTGTCTTTAATGCTGTGTTGGGACCAGGCTCAGACCAGGGAAGGAGGGCTGTGCCTGTACGGAGCATGTCCTGAAACTCTGTAACCAGCAAGAAGTAGACCTGTCTTTAAGGGAAACAAACAAGCACACAGAAAGGGGAGTGGGTTAAGTCTAAAGGGAATGAAATAGCCTTTAATGGTTTGAAGTCACATTTCTAGAGAAAGGGTCTTTTTTGTTCATGGACAGCTTTCAGGAGAAAAGTGGGAAGGATTTTTCTCTCATAATTGAGAGAATCTAACACCTTAGTTATTGAGTAAAAACAAAGATGATTGCCCCGCTTCATGCCCGGTGTAGTGAAAGGAGGCTGTGCGGACAAGTCAGACCATTTCTCGGGTTGGGGGAAGGGTTTCATTGGTGGAGCCAGGTTTAGAGGGGGACCTAGAAGGGGAAAGAACTTTAAGTTGCTTTTATGTAACCTTGCCCTTTACAAATCATACCTGCATCCACTGCTGTCTTGGGCTTAAGTCTGTTTTGAACCATATTCCCTGAAAAACACCCACCATGGACTTTGCAAGAGGGTGCTTATGGATGAGTTGGCTCAGAATTAGGACAGCTTAGTTACTATAACACAGACTTGTGCTTGATTTGATCCTGCCTTCTGTTGCTCCTAGTTTTGTGCCGAGTATACTGGTACTTTCTACCTTGGATTGTAGGGTCTTAAGAGCTTGTTAATTGCCAGGCACCTGGGAGTTTATTTTATGCTCATGGATGCAGTTCATTCTTCCCACCATTCTAACAACTGCTGGGGAGCAGAGGGCTCAGTTTCTAATGAGGTGCTGACAGTGGCTGTGGGATCCATGTGAACCTGCCGTGTATGCTGTGTGGGGTCCCCTCCGTTGGGAAGGTCTGGGTCAGAGATGAGAAGTGGAGGTAATAGAATCCCTTTAATTCCACATGGGCAGTGCGGCTCCCAACCTTGTCCACAGCTTGCTCAGGACTTTCTAGCCCCTGTGTGGTGGCAGGTTTCTGAGGACCACAGGGCCCACCAGCCCAGCCTCTAGGTGGGTGGGCATCAGCCTGTCTGCCAGAAGTCTTTCCTTCTGTCATGAGTAAAGTGCCCAGATGCATGGCTTTGTGTAGCTCTGGGATGTCTTTACATAGATGATAGAGATCTTGACAGATCTGGCCTCTTCCCCGATTCTGTGGTTAGCTGATTAACTTGGGAGGTATATACTAACTTTTGGATTGAAGGTTGCCTGGAAGGGTTGAAAAAGAAAATGTACAGTACATGCCTGCAGAAATCCATGCCAGTGCCGAAAGCCTCAGACACTAGCTGAGTTGGGTTGTGATGAAGTGATGTTGTCGTTATTTTTGGTAGCCAATAGAGAATTGAAACAGGAGGTAAACAGAAAGGTGTGGGAAGATTATTTTTTTCTCATCAGAAAAAAATGTGCTTTTGGAGGAAGCAAATAGGTGCTAATAGTTGACAGCTTAAAAATTGAAAACAAGAAAAAGGAAAAATTAAACCAATAATACTTCGGCTTCCTTACATTCTGAACCTGGATAAACAAATGGTACTGTGGCAGGTACCAGCCTTCAGCCACTGGATGAGCACTGCGATGGCCCTGCAGCCTGGCTTGGCCCGCAGTGACCCTAATGGGCTGGCCTCTGGGTCTGTGCGGGGAAGATGGGGCCCAGGATGGCCCTGTGCAACTCCAGGCCATCAGGGAGACTGGGACGTGTCACCAAGGTCCTTTCTTCCTGCAGTTTCTCTGGTGGGTTGAGGTCTACCCTAGAGTGTGCCCCTATACCACGGACCAGTCCCAGTGCTCCACTGATTCCCAGTCATTTGGAAGGCCACAGGGGCTGAGCAGAGGTGGTCTGCTTTATTCTGGCAGGATGGCGGAGATATAGGCATGCTGGCAATGTCTGTATTTCATAGCCAAAGAACATGAAGCCCAGACAGTGTTGGTGACTTGGCAAGGGCCATGGAGGCAGTGGAGGGGAGCTCAGCTTGGGTCACAGGCACTGTGCTGCCAGGCCAGCGGTGGCTGGCACTGCAGCCACACAGGCTCTGGCCAAACTCTCCATGCGAGGCCTGGCCTTGTTTGGAAAGGGCGCTCAAGCCTCTGAGTGCCCTTCACGGTTGTTCAGCGCCGGACCACACTTCTGCACTCCTGGCGCTCTGCCCTCCCAACGGCACACATGGATGTGTAAATGCCTTCAGAGCCCAGCTGCGCCCCTTTCCTGTCTGGGAGCTGTGTGAGGAAAGCATCCTGTCACACCTAAATCAGATACACGTACGTCACGCTGATTCTCTGTGACACTGCTCAGGGCTACGTAAATGAAAGTGGTGCTGTCCAGAAGCTGGGGCGCGGTGAGAATGATCAGATTATTTCTGTCCCTCTGATAATTAACATCATCTTAAAACAGAATTTATGTAAGGGCTGGTTATATCAAATAAAACTTTAAAATTAACAAAAAGGAATACAGATATGGAGATTTGACCAGATTTCCAAGCATTCAGGATATGTGTCTCCTAACTTGCTGAAGAGGCCGTGCTTTGAGCTTCCACTGTCTTTAGATCAGGTGACACTGAGCACCCAAGGTGGGATGAGAAGGAGTTCTGATGTGAGGAGAGGTGACGGACCAGCCGAGCTTATTAAAAACTCTTATGCTCAAGCAGTGGACCCAACACCAAGAGTCCATTCTCATCTTACCTAGTCGTTTATCCAAACTGGTGACTACAAAGCAGTTGCTTTCCAAAGCTACATTCAGTTTGTTGCACTGGCTGTCTCAGGGCTGGTAACTTCGCAGGCACTTAAAGTCTAAGTGATGACTCTGACCCTCATGGTGCGACTCCCTGCCCAGGGGCCTTCCTGGGCCTCGCTGCCTGTGTGTCCAGCCCCCCGCTCTTCTGCGGGCCCTGCATGCCTCCTTCTTTGAGCCACACCTGCCTTTCCCATGTCCTCTCCCATTTCCAGGGTGCCAGCCACATGGGGCACCCTGTGCTCCCTATTTCCTAAGCCCCGCCTGGGAGCACCCAGAACCCTCTTTGCCCCATCTCCCCAGGAAGCCCACCTACCATTTGAGTTTTCCGGCCTTCTCCAGTTAGAGTTGCTCTCTCCCATGTGTTCTTCCAGTACTTCCTCCTAGTCCCGGGACCGTCAGCTTCCTGAAGCCTGGCACCATTTCTCATTCATCTCTGATTTTGCTAGTTCCTGTTGAAGAATTTTGCGTTTATTAAACACTCAAACATCTTTCAGAAATTAGTACATTGGCTCATACCTAGTTCCTTTATGGCAAGGCAGTTGAGTAGGCGCTGAATGTTTTCAGAGCACTGGCTACCATGAGATGGAAGGTGGAGAAGGTTTTGCCCATGAAAGGACCTGTGTGAGGCTAGTTCTGGGAGGTTCCATTGTAAAAGGAGGGGTGTTGACGTTTTGTCCTGGAACGTTCAGGTGGCAGCGCTGATGGCTTCATTTGGACACACTAACTGATGTCTTCATTTGGAACAGGGAAGTAGGGATAAGGAACTAACAGTTAGAGGCTCAGAAAAACTCCCGGCAGGACACCTAGTCCTAGTGGTAAATTGTCCGTCCTCCGTGGAGCCTGTGGGTGCAGGAAGCTGAGCCCACCTGAGTGAACAAGGGTGGTTGTTATGAGACTATAAGGGGGAGTTTCATGGACCATCCACAGCTGGGAAACGTAGACTCACAGGCCTCATTCCATGTGGGGATGAGGAAGCTGGGGCCAAGATTGGTCCCTCGGTTGCTGTCTCTCTGGGTTGGAGGTTGTTCTCCCCGGGGGACTCTTTGGGTCTCCGTCCCACATTGTCTCTGTCTCTGCATCTTCCTGCACTTCTGCTTCCTCCTTTGCTGACCAGCCTCTGCTCTTCATGGGCAGTTACTCTTGCCAGGAACTTGGGTTCATGGTCAGTGATTCTTGTTCTCCTCTTGCCTTTATGTCATGGTTTACCTCCAGAGCCCCCTGATGACCACTGCCCATTTCTCTTAGCCAGCTTTCTGAGAGGAAGACTCGGTAGTTTGGGGCAGCCAGTGGGTGCTGTGGCCACGGCGGTGGGGGGGCAGGGGTGGGGCTGGATGGGGGAGGGAGGTTGGACAAGGGGGAGGGAAGGACTGGACATCAATGTCTGAGCTTTATCCACTGTGGGTAAAGGGGCCCTGGATGAGGGCAGTCTCCAGGCTGGGTGGGGGTGCTGACCATGCACCTCAAACCTGTGCTCTTCACAGACCATTCATTTAGTAACTCTAAAGACTTCGCATTTCCCCTTTGAGTCATGGACTCCACAGAGCTCACCTAGACCCTAAGTGGTCTGTGAACAGGCTGTGA